AAATCGCGTAGACCTAATAGAGTTAAAAATTTAATTAATTCTGGTCACGAATACTACGTAGTCAGTTCCATTCAGTGCATGACGCATTTGTTATCTAAATCGGAAGTGACGTTTGTAATGCCGCGTACTTTCCTGTTGACCTCCTAAATATCGTTATTATGAATCTTTTTAAGGACCATAAATATTCTGTATACATACAGCGGACGTTATAACGGTTTTTTGACAGCTGTAATCCCACTACATTTTACTATTATAAGAGCGTCAGCGGCTTAGAGGTTAAGCACTATATATTATGTAATCTTGTAGGTCCTGGGTTCGAATCTTGTACTGTATTAATGTTCTAATCATATGAATGTAATTTATCCGAAGTTCTGACGCTGAATGAAAATATTGTGATATAATATATCTGCAAAGAAATTAAAATATATGTATAGTATAGAGTCAACCGGCACTGGGCCAGCATGGTTGGTGGTCCAGGGTAACTTAGGGTAAACTTCGAGCCCCCTCTATGTCCCCAATATAGAGATCTGATGGTTAAAGTACGGTAGCATTTAACGTGTTAATATTCAAGGCAATTCAATGTATGATAGTTGTTACGTTTCCAATAAAATTGTGTTTATAGTTCAGCAATGTTTTATAATTTATAGCAAACGAGCTGTTGCCCGCGACATCGTCCGCGTGGTATTAGAAAACATACGAACTATATAAACTACAAAAAGCTACGTGTCCCTGGGGAACCGGACATTTCTCGGGGATGAAGCTTATCCCATGTGTACTCCAGACTTTGTTTTATATCTGTGCCAAATTTCAATAAGATATGTTGAACCGTTGCAGAATGATAGAGTAAACATTAAAAAACTAAATTAATGAATCCCATGGGAACTGTAATTATTCCCGGGATAAAAAGTAGCCTATGTGTTCTTCCAGACTATGCCCTAAACCTGTGCCAAATTTCATGGAGATTCGTTCAACCGTTTAGGCTACAAACGCTAACAAACATCCATCTATACATCCATCCATCCATCTCAACTTTCGCATTTATAATATTAGTAAGATTCTATGAAATTACAAATTATCATGTATCTTTTAGAATCATGTGACTATGTAAGGACAATTAAAAAAGCAATAACGTTTTACCTTTTCAGTTTAACTGTTTCTGATAAGAAGTAATTAGTTTGACTTTTTAATTATTTTTCTTCTGTTTCAGATGGAAGATGAGAAGACGGAGGATGAGGGGTCGGAGGAATCTGAGGGGTCCGGTATGGATAGCGATGACCCTCTCACTGTCACCGACACCAAGTATACCAAGAGCTTCAGGTAATAAACACAGAATGACACCTTTGACCAAGCTATCGCACAACGGTTATGCGATTGTCGATTGTTTCTCAGCCAATTCAACTGTTTAGTTGCACAACTAACAATCGAGTAGTGTCGGCACCTCCATATAAGCTCATAGGAAAGCGAGTGCGTGGCTCTTAATGCTTTCAAACGACATAATAAATTAAGAATACCAAGAAATACCTATTGGTTTACATATGGTCTACTATTCCGGGAAAAATAGTGACATTTTGTGTATTTTACCTATCATCTGTTTGTAGACAATTATATTTGGCAACATTTTAAGGGGAACCTGTTTTTCAGATTGCTTTAGTTAAGACTTGCGTCATATTACCAAGAGATCTTGCTGGTTATTAATAGAGCGACAC